GTTCTAAGTTGCTTCTCTCCTTGATTAGTTTCCACCCATTGCTTCTTGTTCTACCCTCAGGTGTTTTGGAGAATAGCTTGACTCCGTCTTCTTTGTGGCAGCCCCTGAGATATTGGAAGACTGCTGTCATGTCTCCCCTAGTCCACCTTTTCATTAAACTAGACATACCCAGTTCCTGCAACCGTTCTTCTTCAAGACTTCTTGGAAAGGGGGAGGGAGAAAAATAAGGCCTTTTATCCCATTTCCTCCCCGCTCTTCCCCAAATGCTTCGATTTCGGCTGCTGCTTTACCGCCCCCCCTCCCGCCCCCCGGCTTACCAAGCGGCGGGGAAGAAGAGAAGCCGCCTCGTCAATCTCTAAAGCATAAAGCAACCTCCATTAACCAGCGGCTGGTTTTTTCTGCGCACGCGCCGAGCGCTTCTCTACCCTCTCGGCGGCCAGGCCGCACGCACCGGAGCTTCTTCCCTGCGGCGTCCGATTTGCACTTTCTGTTTTGCACGCGAAGAAAGCATCGATCAAGGTTTGGTCTAACTCGCCCGGCCCTTTTTCTTTCTTTCTTTAAATAAAAATCCCGTCTTCAATTCAGACGTGACTTGGCGCGCACGCGCGACAAGACAAACTCGTTAAGGGATATGACGTCACGCTATCAATAACGCTTGCGCAAAAGGCGTCTCGAGCGAGTCACCGCTTTGCGCATGCGCCAAATACCCACCGGAGGAAAATTTTGCTCCGAGAAATTTCGTGGGTGGGTGGAATAAGATAATCTTTCAAAATAATATCAACTCATCTTCCTCAACCCGTTTTAAAAAAAATGGAGCCGATGTTTTTCAGCGAACAAACAATTATTTCGTCAGTTTAACAACATATCCCATCATATCTGATTTGCAAAAATTCGGACAAACACTAGATGGCAGCAAAGAGATAAGAGATGCTCGCTGCCACTTAAAGTTTCGCCGGGTTTTTTTTCTTTTTCTTTTTGCACTTCAGCTCTGAGAGGCTTCCATTAACGTCCGTCCTACCTTCCTTTAAAACCCCTGTGGTGGTGGTGGGAAACGTGCTAGCGTACGTACGCATGCGTGGTTCAAATTCCCCTTTTCCTGCGCTGCCATTGGCGAAGTCGCTTTTTTTCCCTTGCATCACGTGGCTTTCATTGTACGGTGGCGAGCTGCGGCCAAAAAAGAAGAACGCGCCGCCCCAGTTGCTGCTCTTTTTTTCTTTTCTTTTTTTTTTTTTGCGCACCGCCGGCTTTTGTGTTTTCTGGCAGCAGCGCCGGGCTTGCCGCGAGCGAGCGAGGACGAGGGTCGGAGCAGGTAAGCGAGGGTGGAGGGAGGAGGTGTCCTCCGGAGACCCCCCTTATTTTGGGCGGGGGGTCCCTTTGCTATTCCTCCGCCAGGACCCTAAAGAGAAGGAATACCGTGCGTTTGCAGGCGTGCTTGGGCAGGGTTCTTTATTCCAGGAGGGATGGTTAGAAAGCCACAGGGTTAACGTCCAAGGGGAGGAAAGGATGGGATGATGCTGTTTTTGCATGCCCCGGGAGGCGATTTTTCATTCTCTGTGTTATTTCACTTCTTCTTCTTCTTTCCTACCAGCTTCCAGGGCTGCTGACCTTGAGGTACCGTATCACATATATACAGTACAGGTAGTCCTCGACTTACGACCACAATGGAGCACATCCACCACACCCCAAATTCATGTTGCTTGTTGTTGTTAGTTGCGAAGTTGTGTTTGA